CATCCTCCCCACCATCCCTCCTCACCATCCCTCCTCATCATCCCTCCTCACCATCCCTCCTCATCATCCTTCTCACCATCCCCCCTCACCATCCTCCTCACCATCCTCCTCACCATCCTCCTCACCAGGCCTCCTCATCATCCCTCCTCACCATCCTCCTCACCAGGCCTCCTCACCTGCCCTGCTCATGAGGCTCTGCTCACCAGGCCCCACTCACCAGGGACCTTCGGCAGGCTCTTGCCCTTTCTGGGACTTGCTTTGTTTAACTGCCAAATGGAGAAAGAACTGGACCAGCTGCACAGCACTGATGTGGAAATAAAATAAAATGACAGCCTGAGTGGCACCGTGGGCCTCTGTGGGGCACTGTGGGTCTCTGGTGACACTGTGGGCCTCTGGGTGGCACTGTGGGCCTCTGGGTGGCCCAGTGCAAAGGTGCTTTGGCAGAGGGCCCATCTGTGTGAATCTGCACCTTCCCTGTGTCCTGGAGCAAGTCATCTAGTGCCCCTGAGCATGTCCTCGCTAAGGCCCCCTTCTTGGGGTGTCGGTGTCGTGAGCAGCCATAAGCCAGCCTGCACCGAGGCACTCAGGAGGGCCTGGAGCACCCCAGCTGCTCAGAGGTAACTGCCGCAGTTGCGGATGTCGGGTGAATTTCTCTGATGAGCCAGAACCTCTTACTTGGATTTTCCTGGCTTTTTTCGGGGGGCTCTTCCACTGACCCAAAGCACCAACATGCCCCAGGTTCTCAAGACGGTGGTCTGAAGACTGAAGCCCACAGCTCGCTGCTCTTTGAAGGATGAGCTATAAATACATCGGGTCATTGAAAGAGGAAGGAACGCACCTGGGTTCCCAAGAGCATGTAAATGTGGCCCTGCCAGACTTCAGGGGACAGGCCTGCCTCTCCCTGCTGTCGCCCCTGAGTTCTGCAGAACTCTGAGTGTCCAGGCCAGGGAACGCAGGCCAGCAGCTGTGCCCAGCAACAGTGACCCCGGGAAACGCAGGGGCCCCACAGGAAGGTCCCAAGCTCAGGCTGGGTGAGTCTCAGGTCTTCAGTTTGGACAATCTCCTGTTGTGGAAGATAGGGGACAGTGACTTTGTCGGGAGGGCCCAGGGCTTGGTCCATCACATGAGGGTCTCCCTCTGAAGTCCTGCCTGCCTCCCGGGGGTGTCCTGAGAGTCTGGAATCTGGAGAGTCAGAGAGGAGAGAGGGTAAGTGAAAGAAGCACATCACGGCAGCCGACGAGCTTGGCAGGTGTCTGAGTCCCTGAGCCCCAGTTTTCTCAGCTGTACAATGGGGTACCTTGAAGCTAGAGAGAACAGGAAGTGTGCCCCGCCACAGCGGCTCTCGTCGGGCTTCAGGTCGTCCCTCGTCCTTCTCTCCTGGCTCCTCCCAGGAGGCTCGTCCCTTCCTGGTTGTATCCCAAGCACCCAGAAGAGTCTGGCGCTCAGTGGACCTCTTAGGGAACACTCTGTTCCTTCCACAGTGGGGAGAAGTGGGCCGAGTGTGGTGG